GCCAACTTTTTTCCTGCTTTATGCTTTTACTTATCCTCCGGTTCCATTGACTCGCATGATTATAATTTCCGTTGCACTGGTGTTCCTGGTAAATTCTTTTCAAACTCATCGCGGTTTTACGTGCCATTTTCTTTCTGGCGTAAGAGGGTAGGTCACATTGCCCGTTAACCTCCTCAATAGCCAGTTGGTCCAGGGGCACGTTCACTGCGTCCTTCATCTCAACACTGAGAACATGTTGCGGTTGGCCGAACGAGGTGGTTTGTTCACTTTCAGCGTTTATTGTAGGTCTCTCCTGCTCAACTTCGTTGGCGGTCTTCTTGGGGCCTGGGCAGTTAATGGCGATATGCCCTTTTGCACCGCACTTGTAACACTCACGCTCGCTATGAGGGGTGAATTTTCCTTGGCCTCCATAACTTCCACCCCACGAGCCACTTCCTTTACCACCTTGTTTGCCTCCGATCTTACCTTTCACATAGGATCCGTAGGTGGCCCGAACCCTTGCCTTTTTCCACCTTTGCCACCTTTACCTCCTTTGGTGAACTGTTTAGGTCTTGTGCAATTTCTGGCTAAATGACCCATGCCTCCACAATTGTAACACCTGGGGCCTGCTCCATTGCCTTTGCCTTTGTTTACGGCGTCAATTTCTTCATGGTCCCCGCTGACACTTTCGTTGGCCCAAGACCCGTAGCCCCGCGATCCATCTTCTGGCCACCAGTTTCCGTCTTCGTCAACCCATCCTGTTTGGTCCCAAACATTTTCGGACCCTCGGCCCATCTCGTTGATGTTCCCAATGCCCATTGCACCCTTATTTTTCGTGTCTGAGTCGAGTTTCTTTTTACGCGCCCAGTCTTCGCACTTTGAGTATAGCTTCTGGAATGAGTCAATGTTAAGCGCGTCGGGCGTTCGCCAGCACGCCTGCTGCCATTCGTCAAACCAATCGTTCGCATGCGCCATTATTGCCCTGAGTGCGGTGACTTTAAAAGGGAGAGGCAGCGATTAATCTTTACCGTATTTTTCAAGGTTTTCTGCCAATGCGCTCCACTCTTCAAGTCGGGTAACGGTGTCAGTAATCTTCTTGGGCGGCTCAGGGTTCATGGCATGTGTCATCTTTGATGATAGGGTCGCTCCGGTTACCGCCGAGTACCATTTGTAGACCTTTTGCCAAGCCATGATTCCATCTCCATCCATAAGTCCCTTTAATTTTCCTCTGGCTTCTGCACCTTCGAGCTTCTCGTTTAGAATGTACCACAAGTCTTCCTCCATCTGAGTTTTGTCTCCCTCGGTAAACTCGTATTCGCCTGTGTTGTCATCCTCTGCCTGTTTAGCTGGGTTCGCCTTCAGATATTCGCTTGCTGTTAATCGGCCGTTCATTATGCGTATGATGTCATCATCGTCCTCCTCTGGTACGACTCCGTCAAGCGTCTCCAACTTCTTGTTTAGCATCTTCAACGCCGGTCGGTAACTCGGTTTCACCTGGGCCAGTGCGTTCAAGAACTTGTCGTTCCAGTCCCTGAACTTTGCTCTTTCTCCACTGAAGTTCTTTAGCGCCTGTAATGCCTTATATTCGCTTATCGGTTTACCGCTCCCGTGCTTGCTTCCACTTCCTCCTTTAATTGCTTCCGAAAGCTGACCGAATCTCTCAATCAACTTTTCTTGTACCTCACTGTTGGTCTCCAATTCGGTGACTCTTTCCACCAGGTCTGCGAGCATCCCTTTCGAGTACAGCATTTCTTTTTGTGATTGCTAACAACATGCTGTTGGTCTTATGGGCACTCTGTAACATTTGGAATGTTTCGGCGTTTGATACTTCCCTTCGATCCTGTGTCACTCGCTCGTTGATGAACGTTGCAAGTCCGAAATGGTTCGCGAGTAGCGCTGTCTGAACGTAACTGAAGTCTCCGTTCAAGTATGCTTGTTCGCACAGGTCGTTGAAGCGGTTAATGTCCATGTTGACCCATGCATCTCTGTCTGCCGGCACATTGAGGTTAACCGGCGGGTCGCCCTGCCCAGGCCTGGCTGCAGCTGCCGCTGCCGCCGCCATGGCAACCGCGCTCCGCTACCATGCAAAACCCCGAGGAGGGTTCTGCACGGGAGCCTGGCAACAATGATCATGATCGGTCACCTTTATACTCCCGAACGGCAAAGCAGGTCTCAGTAGCTTCGGCCGTTAAACACTTGAGCCAAAATGGCTACGGGGTTACTATTCCTCCCCAGTCACCTGAACTCTTTCATGTTAACACTTGTCTCTCCTCCTCCTCCTCCTCTCCTCCTTGTGTTTCTTTTCCTCCTCGCCTCCTCCGTCCTCCTCCACCCTCCCTCCCCCTCCTCCTCGAGCTGCTCTCCTCCTCCTCCTCCTCCTCCTCCTCGAGCCTCCTCCTCTCCTCGGATCCTCCTGATCCTTCCCCTCATCCCCCCCTTCCCCCCCCTCCTCGGTCGGGGGGGCCCGCCTCGCGAGGCCACCGCCCGCGGGCGCGCGCGCGCGCGGGGCCGCGCGGAGGCTCGATCCGCGCGGCCTCGAGGGGGTGAGCGCTCGACCTCGCATCCTCTCTCTTCCTCTTCTTCCTCCTCCTTCTCCTCCTCCTCCTCCTTCTCCTCCTCTTCGATCCCCCGATCCTCCTCCTCCTCCTCCTCGACCTCCTCCTCCTCCTCCTCCTCCTCCTCTGCCTCCTCTTCCTTGTCCCCTCCTCATGATCCAGTCTCATTGATCAATCGCTTCATACCTGAATTATATGAGGGAGCAGAAGCGTGTTTAGGGGGGGGAGATATGGGGGGAGGCGAGGCTGTATCTGGCGAAAACCAAGACATATACGCAAAAATCAAGACATATACGCAAAAATCAAGACATAGGCGCAAAAATCAAGACAAGCACACGTAATAACAACAAATCAAGACAATTCAAAAAAAATCAAGTCTGGAAGGCCGTCGCAGAAAAATCGCGACAGCAAGATGTCAGGGAATCGCAATCCTCCCACCTGAACTCCAGCCGGCGCCCTCTCGACGAAGGCCAGGCGCGCTGCCGGCTGTCGCGGCGCTGGCTTCAGGCGCGGGCGGGCCTGAGAAGCCAGTCGGATTTTTGAACCATTAAAACCTTCAAACAACAAAGAACTGAACCTCCGCACGATGTCTGGACCATCTTTTCCAAAAAGCTTGCTCGGGGGCGATTGGCCGCCGCCCGCAGCCGGCAGGGGCGCGAAATCGCGCGGGAAAGGGGCCACCGTGACGGGCTCGCCGTCGGAGTAGCCCGCGCCGACCTGGAGTTCCCGCAAGGCCATATCGGTCGAGTACTCTGGAGAGCGGAGCATACCGCCGTGCAGCACTCGGCGAGATGCTCCAAGCACAGCTGCTGCATCCCGTTGGGTTATTGGCCCTCGTGCCTGGGTATATCGCCTGGGCCGGCATCCAGCTGGTTAAGCGCCACCACGAGTTCCGCCACGAGCTCTCCCTGCAGCGCCCTGGTCCGCGGCGGCGCTGGGCACTGCGGGAACATCGCCCGCTAGCACCGGCGCCCACGTCGCACCAGTCAGGGTTTGGCAAAGGAAGAAGCGACCTCTGCATATGGTCATCGCCTCCTCCCCGCGCCTTTTCGTCTACACCTCTGGGTCGAAACAGTCCCGGAAACGACTCTGGCATCGGGACTTGCCGGAATGACCTCCTCCACCTTCACTCGACGCGGCCGCCTGCTCCTCCCTCAAATTCCACACGTTCTTCTCGCTGCTCGAGATCCGCTCCAGCTCTTTCGCCGCCGCTTACACGAGTTCGGGGCACCGCATCGACGCGGACCTCAAGCGACCCCCGGAGACGTGCGACTCCTCCTCGGGCATCCGCAAGTTGTGTTCCTGCATTTCGACGTTCCCGTCGCCTCAGCCGCGCTCGATGGGCTGAGGCTTGCGGTACCCAAGCTCTGCAGTCACAAAGCTGCACACGCCCGCGTGATCGAATCCGCCCATCGACTCGAGCCTCTTCGAGATCGTTGCCTGGATACCCCCCCTCCGAAGTCGACGGAAGTCTTCTGTTCTGGTAGGCAAACACATCAAAATTGGTGATGAGCTGCCGCAGGCAAAGTCACAGCATGACAAGCTGCAGGGGGAGCTGATGAGGACGGCAGCGAACACAGGGGAAGAAGCTCGAGCAGGATGAATGGACACCATGCTGTGTGGCTTGGAGACCGCAGCTTTCAGGAGCAGCATACCTAAACCCCGACAGGCAGAAAGCTGTTCGAAGGAACCTGAGAGGCGTCGGAAAGGTGTCTGAGTCAGGTTCGTACTGACCAGGACGGGGGGGGGAGAGGAAGGCAATAGAAAACTCCAAATTTGAGCCTGGAAGCGCATGGAAATCAACGCGAAGGAACCCCACATACCTTTGCACACAGCAAGGCTGCCAACGTGATCACCACTGAGAACTCCTTTCAAGCATTGGAGGTTACCCGACTTGATGATAAAGAATTCGGGAATGAAGACGAACAAATTCGGGACATCGGGCAGGCCCTCCTGTGTGTGCCGGCAGTTGCGCAAGTGTACTGCGAGCCTCGCCAATCCCGATTGCCTCTCTGCTGCAACAGGCGCACAGTGAGCAGACGGCGTCGTCGGTCGGATTCATCATATCAGTCCTGGTGTATCGTCTTCCGCCTTCTCCTGCGTCTACTCCCAGGTCCTGCCCGTCCCCCCTTCCCCCCTTGGTTTTCCTCGTCCTTCTCATCCTCGCTATGCCTCGTCTTCCTCCTCATCCTGCTTCATCGTTGTCCAGCCCGGCGCCGCCCGAACACGCGAGACGGTCCGCGCGCCATCGTCCTCCTCTCTTCGTCGTCCTCGTCGTCGTCGCCGCCGCCGCCGCCGTCACCGTCGTCGTCGTCGTCGTCGTCGTCACCGTCGTCGTCGGCGTCGTCGCGGTAGCCGCCGTTTTCGTCGTCGCCGCCGTCATCGCCGTCGCCGCCTTCGTGTCATCGTTCGTCGCCGTCTTCGTCTGTCGCCGTCGGTCGTCGGTCGTCGCCGCCGTCATCGCGCTTTTGAATGCGCAGCCCTGCCGCTGCTGCTCATCGGCGGCAACACCGACGGTGCGCTGCGCGAAGCGCTGCCCGCCCCGGCCCCTGGGAAGCTCACGCCCCCGCTCCCGCGCTTGCCCGGAGAGCGCACGTCGATGAGGGCCTCGGGGGAAGGAGGGAAGGAGGGAGGCAAAAGGGGAAGGGAGATGGCTTCCTCCCTCTCCCTCGTCCTCCTCTCCTCTGCCGGGCGAGGCGGCGCCAACAGAGGAGGAGCCGCAGAGGCGGAGTCGGCAGAGGCGGAGCCCAAGGCCGAGGCGGAGGAGGAGTAGGACTAGGGTTAGGTAGATGTCCAGAGGTCGCAACTGCACTGCTGCAGCAGCAGCGCTGCCTGGGAGCCGCCGAGGCCTGAGCGAACCCAGGCTGAGCTTCGCGCGCCCATATGGCAGCTCTGACGGGGAGGAGGGGGAGGAGGAGGAATGGGAAGAAGGAGCAGCCAGCGTGATTCGGGGGTGATGCGCGGGGTAGACGAAATCGGAGAAAGAGGGAAGAGGGAGAGGAACAGACGACGACGAGAAGGAAATAAAAATGGGGAAGGAGGAGGAGAAGGGGGAAGAAACAAGGAGGGGGAAGTCGGCCAGAAGGGGAAGGGCGAAGACAAAGGACTCAACGGGCACTAGGGGAAACAAGGAGGAGGGCCACCACGACGAGGGCGAGGACGAGGACGAGGAGGAAAAGAAAACGGACAGGGGAGGAGGACGAGGACGAGGAGGACGTCTGTCTGGCGGCACTTCGACGCCATGGGCCCGTCGAGCGTTGACAGCCAACGAGACTGCCCCATCATCAATGCCACATCCGCGCTTGCTGATAATTTACCGCCTGGCCCACGCTGCCATGCTGAAAAGCCCACTCAGAAATCTCTTGCCTGTCTGGCCTACATCCATGGCTCCACAGGCGAAGCCAGTGCTGGAATCGAATCCTGGTCCACATCGTCATCTTCATCGGCATCGAGAAGATAAATCATGACGAACGAATCCGACACGGGGCTGAAACTGTACTGGTACTGCTAGTGATGCTGCGGCTCCCGTCTCAAATGCACGCCCTGGCTGGCAAAAACAACTGCCTCGTGAGCCAGGGAGGTGGTCTTGACCCAACATTGAACGAGAACGGCGACGACCCACGACCACGACGATAACGGCAACAACGACCCCCAGAGGTCGCCCGAGAGCGCCGGAGAACCCCGGAGGTCTCGGGCGGCCTTCGAAGGCCTTCCGAAACTCCCAACTGATCAAAACTACCAAGAACAGCATACCCTCCTCACCCTCGGGCCCGAATCGACTATGACGACGACGACGACGCCGACGCCGACGCCGACGACGACGACGACCGACGGCGACGACAACGACGCCCACGACGACGACGACGCCCACGACGCCCACGACGACGACGAGCACGACGGCGACAACGGCGACAACGGCGACAACGAGCGCCGAGGCGCGGGCCGCCACAGCGGTGCAGTCGTCCCGGCTGCCGCGGGCCACGGCAAACTGCACGAGGTCCTGGCACTCGTCATCGGCAAGCATAGCCGCCGCCATCGCCGCCGTCGTCGTAGTAGCCGCCGCCGTCGTCGCCGTCGTCGCTTCGCATAAAAAGATGGAAGAAAGGGGGGGCGACGACCGGCGGCGACGAGCACTCCGCCCACCCACCCCGCCCGCGGCGCAGGCAGCTCCTCGGCGAAGTCACGCAGGGGTTGGCTAGTGCCCGCGGGCACCTGAAGTGGCGGCAGGCAGGGCGGGGGCGCGCTCCGCGGCGACAGGCCTCTGCTGCTGCTGATCTTCAGCGTCCTCGCATTCCTCCGTCACATCCTCATCTTCATCTGCTCCTCCGGTTCCCTCCTCCACCCCGTTTCTTTGTTCTCGTCCTCTCCTCGTGATATTCCCCCTGTGCAGTTCCTCCCGCGTCCTGTTCCTCCCGCGCCCATTTCCTCCTCTTCTTCCTCCTCCTCCCTTCCTTTTCCTCCTCCTCCTCCTCCTCCTCCTCCTCCTCCAAATCCTCCGAATCAAAATTGTATTCCCGCTCCCTCTCTCCCTCCCCCGATCGGCTCCTCCTCGCCTCCAGATTTCACGTTTATTCAATTGTCTTTTCCCTCGCCTGTATATTTCCCCCTCCCGTATTCCCCTGTACCTCCTGTAACTATTCCCGCTCCTGCTTCTCATCGTCGTGTTCCGTGCCTTATACTGCCTACTGTTGTTCCCACCACCATTCTCCCATCAGCCCATTCGTTATCATGGTGTTAACCTTCCTCCTCTTCCTCCTCCTCCTCCTCCTCCTCCTCCTCTTTCCCTGTCCTTCTCCTACTCTTACTTGGTTCTCCTCCTCCTCCTCCTCCTCCACCTCATCATAATCATGATACGTCACAACCACTTCCACCTCCGATGCCGTCCTCATTAGCAATACTAACAGCACGACCACCATCATCACCACAAACACCATCACCATCACCATGGTAACCACTCATGCCATCATCGGCAGCATCATCACCACCACCATCATCAACAGCATCATCACCACCATCAAGCCCTGACGTATAATGACCATCGGGTTAATTATCGCCACCACCACCATCATCGTCATCAGCAGCATCGTCGTCGAGACCATTTGCATCATAATCGTCGTCGTCACCGCCGTCGCCGACGTCGCCATCATCGCCATCAGCAGCAGCATCCTCATCCTGATCCTCCTCCACATCCTCATCAGCACCATCGCCATCACAGCACCAGCGTCACGATCCTCAGTATCATCATCACCAGCATCATCCTCGTCACCGTCATCATCATATCCATCATCATCATCAACAACATCACCATCATTGCCCGCCGCAAGACGACGCAGCGAACGGTGCCGCGACGCGCGGCCGTGCCGGATCGCCCACCCCCGCCGCGCGACTGGCGCGCGCCGCCGCGGCGGCCCGCGACCGGGGTGGGCGCGGGGAGGAGGAGATGGGGGGAGGGGCGCGGGTGGCTGGGTGCGGGGGAGGAACAGACCGCACTCCCAGCGCGGCGCGCGCGGGCGCGGACGCGGAAAACGCCCGGCGCTCCCAGCGCGGCGCCAAACCCGAGCGCAGACGCGACCGATGACGGAAGGACGCGACCGACGATGATGGCCCTTTCTCTATTTGCTCAGAGCCACAGCGCCCCCCAAGCCTCGGGCGCGTGGAATCGCGCACCTAGCGCCGCTGGCACTTGTAAAGACTGTGCGCGTCGCGGGGGGCGGCCCGTCAGATGTCGCTCTGCGACGAGGCGCGGCGCGCCCGCGTCGACAAGGACGCGCGCCCCGCGCGAGGCCAAATGCCGCGGGCAAGGGCTTTGTGACCCCAGTCCCAGGCGCCCGCGCGCGCCGCTGATCTCTCGGCCCCTGAATTGTCCGAGAACGCTTCCAGCGCGCGACCTGCCAGTCGCCCTTCCAGCGACGTCAGACCTCACGCGATCGCCAAGACCTCGAGGCCCATTATATCTGGCCGTCGCGTCAGCGCTGGCAATTCCGCATCAAAACTACGTCGGGCGCGCATTCTCATTCGGCAGACAGGATTTCGCCGTCTACAAATAGCGCGGCGGCGGCGCGCGGAAGCGCGAAGGCAACCTGGCCCTTCCAGAGACCGCGCTCCATACGCTGCCACGGCGTCGCAGGCTACGCGCGCGCAGGCCGCCACCCCGATTCCACTGGCTCAGAGCGCGCTGGCTCTTGTACTTCACTGACGCGCACAGCGCGCGCCTCCCCGAGGGCATGAACTCTTTCTCGATGGCGTCCCAGTCCAGGGCGTCTCCACGCATCGATTGCAAGAGCAACGCGGGGCCCTTCCGTTCGCCCTGGGTGCACGGCGAACGGTCAAAGGCCCGGAATATCAACGTGTCCTCGCGCCGTCGCACGCGCGCCAGTGCCGCGCAGCTCGAGAGAGGCGAGGCGCCCCCGCCGATGCTCAAGTCCACGATCACACCTTGTGCGAACGTTTGTCCCTGCGCCGCATGGGCCGCGACGCCAAAAGCTGGCGCCAGAGGGGCCTGCCGTCTTTTGACCTCGAGTCGTGGACGCGGGCGACCCCTGTCTACGAACCATTCCTTCTTCTGCGGTGTCACCGGGTGCAAACCGGGAGTGCTTGATCCCTCGATCGTCCACGCGCGCGGCTTCCGACCGCCGCCCCCGCCCTCGCCTTCGTCGAACAACGCGGAAATCACCTTCGGAGTCTTCTTCAAAATAATCTCTCCGCCGCGCGTGGCCCGGTCATCCTCGCCGACTCCGTCGCAAATCCAGGGGTGCACGCGGCCCGCGCGACCGCGCCGGAAGTTTCTGTCCTCGCTTCGATCAATGCGGTCGGTGAGAGCGACCGGCATCCCTTCTGCGATCGGCAAGAAACCTCACAGGTCCCCGCTTTCCTTGTCATGCCGCTGGAGCCACGCCATCTTCTGCAGCGGCAGATCTGGCCGCTCGCGCAGCGCCTCTGGCGTAGGAGTGCCCCGCGCAGGAACATGCACCATCGGCTTCCTGTGCCTCCGTGCGCACTGGGGCGCTCGGAGATCGTTCGCTTCGCACTTCACATCGTCGTTGGGACACACACCCGGCGCGACAAGGAACTTGTCCGACAACAGTCGCGGGTCGGCAGGGCCATCCAGCACGAGCCGGCGCTGCGCCCGCTTCTCTCTGCGCGCGTTGCACTCCTCCTGGCGGATCTCCGCCGGCGTCGCTTGACGTCTTCGTCGTTGCCCCGATCCCTTCCGCGCTGCATCCCTGCCGAAGTCGCGCAGCTCCCGACAGGCCAAAGTCCCGCAACAAACTTCCCCGTTCAGCCAGCTGCCATGCACGGTTGCATCCCAACCATGCAAAAATGCGCGCGCGTCCACTGAGAGCGCCCCTCCACAGAACTCTTCTTGCACTTCCTTCAGCCAGGCGTCGTCGCACCGTTCGCACTCTTCCAACTCTGTCACGCCCTGAACCCCGCACTCTGCGCCGCCCCGCAGGAGCGATTGCCCGTGCAGCACGGGTGGCAGGGACGTGTACTTGCGGGCCACCGAGATGCGCTCCGTTGGGACATCCGCAAGGAAGCCGCCGTCTGGGGGTGTCAGCTGCCAGAAGTCACCACTCAGCACGACGGCCAAACCGCCGAAAGGACGCGGCGCGCCATCGTCGCCGCGCTTCGTCGTCCCAACGTCGCGGATGACGCCGCGCAGTTTCGCGTCTACTTCTGCTAGTAGTCTGGCACTCGCCATGCTGATTTCATCGACGAATAAGCACGCGTTTTGCAGTCTCGTACTGCAGTTTGACGTCCTCCCCCTTCCTCACCCCGCTGAATGGCCGGAGTGCCACGCGCATGGTGGATGGTATCGCCCCCCAACAGCTGTGCCATGACGGCCTGCAGAGCTGCGATTTGGAAGTGCACGCCGATTGTCCACTTCATCAACCCCTCGAACAATTCATGACGAATTATGCGCAACACGTGCGACTTGCCCGTCCCAGGGCCCCCGTGCATGCACCGCTGCAGCGGTTCGCCCATGCCGGCATCTTCACTGGCCTCGCCGCCAATCTCCCGCATCAATCGAAGAGCCACTCTATTCGCCATCTCGAACTGCTTTGCGTTCACCACGCGCCGCCCCGTCTGTTTGTCCACTTGGAACTCGAGCTTCTCCAGCCACGCTGAGATGACTGCCGATGTCGCTGCCTGGGAAGCCAAGGCCACTCCTCCGTCAGCCTGTGCCATCCTGTCTGCCACGGGCTGCTCCTTGTTCCGAGATTTGCGCGCTTCCGCCAGCGCCCACGTCGCAGGGCTCTCCTGCTGGCCGCGTGCCCCGCACTTCGCTCAGCAGCGTTTCGCCGTCGCGGGGCCACCGCGCTTGCTGCGCGACGGCCATGCCCCCTTTCGAATTCGCATAAGGGGAGATGCCGCCCTCTCCTTGCGTTCCGCCGGCGTCGCTTTCCTCGCCGCCGCTATCTCCGTCGCCGTCCCCCCGCCTTTTCCCGCACGCCCGTGACTTGAGCGCCTGGCCCAGTTGTTCAAAGCCCACGTCCAACTCCTCATCGCCCACGTCTTCGTCGCTCCGTTCCTCCGCCACGCCTGCGTCCCGAGGCCGGACGCGGTGCGCGCTCAGGAAGTTGCCCACGTGCCGCGAGGCTTCCCTCGTCTGCGCGCCGCCGTCCAGCCACGCTACCACGGCGGCGCCCCGCGTCGCCGAGTCGCCGCGCAAGTCCCCTGCGAAAGCTACATGCTCGTCGGCCGCGTCGGGCCTCAACGTCCACGGGTGGAAATACGCCATGACAATGCGCGCCGACCGCTCCGCTCCCCCTGGGCGTCCGCCCTGCTTCCCCCAAGCGAATTTCCAAAACGTCTAGAATAATTTGTACAACGTAAGACGACATAACAGAAAAAAACGATTCCCGAATATTGCACAATAATGCGCTTTCCAGATCAAGAAAGAAGATTGCAAAATAATATTACAAATAAGATTAAGAAAAAGCACCTACCAGATATTGTTCGCCTGCGCTTCGAGTTATTACGCGAGCGGAGACAACGCCCGGATAGCTTAATGACTGAGAAACAGTGCGGCGAAGGAACCGCCCACTCCCACTCCCATCGGAAATGCTTGCCTGGATATTCGATATTGCCATGTAGCTCATACGTAGTGAGAAATGTGCACATCGAAGCAAGCGCGCTGAAACAACTCGCGCATTTCTGCCTGGGCCGTTTTGAAGACAAGTTAATACAAGAGGAGAGAAAGAGAGCGC